GGGTCAGACCTGCTGGGTCAGACCTGCGGCTGCTGGCTCAGACCTGCGGCTGCTGGGTCAGACCTGCTGCTGTTTGGTCAGACCTGCTGGGTCAGACCTGCTGGGTCAGACCTGCTGGGTCAGACCTGCGGCTGCAAAGACTCCGTTCAGCAACGTTCACGCCGTTAATTAGCAGCTGTTACGATAAACTAAATGTTTGGTTTTTTAAGTTCACAATATTTTATTTAGTTTTATTATAATATATTATATATATTGTTTGTAAATTAAAACATATTAAAAAGCTCCTGAGAGTTATTTCCCTGTGAAGATGATCCAAGTTAAAGTAAAACGTTGTTTTTAAAAAAAATTATTTTTGTCATTTCAGTAATTTGTTATTTTTTATTAGATTTTACTGCGTGGACGCTGAGTCAGCATTATTCTAACGATTGTTTCCATTTTTAAAAAATAATTTAACTGCTTCTGCAGACAGACAGACAGACAGACAGACAGACAGACAGACAGACAGACAGAGACAGACAGACAGACAAACAGAGACAGACAGACAGACAGACAGGTAGATAGATACTCTTTTAATCCCTGGGGGGGGAATTATAATTTAGAATAAATTTTCTCATTAAACGCACAAAGATCTTAAAAACTTTCAAAACATGGTTCTCTTTTGAAAAAGCTTCAGCTACTAACTCCGTTTCTGTCCTGGTCTGCTAATGTTAGCTTTTAGCAGCAGAAAACAATTAGCTATAAGGAACGTTTAGCTATCCTTCCGCTACATTTAGTTTTCAACAAACATTTTTCTTTTTTAGTTTTTAGCTAGTTTTCTTGTAAGCTTCAAGCTAGCATCTGAACTTATTTAGCTTTTAGCTACTCTTTTACTTCTTTAAGCTTTTTAACTATCTCTTTGCTAATTTTAGATCCCAGCAAGCGTTTGTTTAGCGTATATCTTAGTTTATATCTCAGATCCTTATTTGTTGTTTCTCTTTACACTTTATATTTTTGCTGTTGTTTGATGAAACCGGACCCTGAGTCCAGTTTCATTCCGCCTCATGTACCACGTGTGACGTGAATGACAATAAAGAATCTCTGACTCTAACTGCTGATCAAGAACACTTTAAAGACTTCAGGACCGTCTGGATCACTGAAAGACAATAAAAGGAGACGAGGACTGGACCAGGACGAGGACTGGACCAGGAGTTCTGCAGTGTTCCTCCGCGGTTCTGAAAGTCCAGTCCTGGAATCAGTTTCTCACCTCGAGTTCTCGGAGGATGCCGCTCTGACCGCACGTTTCCAAATCCTCCAGAGCCTGAGACCAGAAGTTCTCCTCCTGGTCCGGTTCCGTCCCGTCGTGCCCCACAGTGAACCTGAAAGGAAAAGGTCAGAGGTCGGCCAATCAGAGAGCAGAACAGCCCGAGTCCACACAGACGAAGGAAGTGCTCGTGCACAGGAGGGATCGACACGCAGCATCCACCGGGGGAGGGGTCAGAGTGTGACGAGGGTCAGAGGTCACCAGGTGAGGGCTGACGGGGGACTGTGTGGGGTCAAAGGTCAGAGTGGTACCTGCTGTCAGTGATTAGCCCGCTGGGCAGAGTGCAGCCGCTGCAGACAGAGACACACACTCAGGTTGCTGTCAGCCCTTTGATCTGAGACTAACACGTGTGTGTGTGTGTGTGTGTGTGTGTTCACCCACTGCTCTCTGACCCACCAGAGCACAAACCAGAACCACAACAGAACCTCAGATTCATGTCTCACCCTCCGAGCGGTGGGCGGTCCCAGTCGTCGTCACTCAGCCCCAGGTCTGACAGCGGATTGGCCCTCGGCCGCGTGGAGGACTGTGATTGGCTGTTGGTCGTCTTCAGGCTGCGCCACTCATGAAAACTGTACGGAGACGACTGAAAAGGCGGAGCTACACAGACAGACGGTGTTTAGGTGGAGGTCATTATGAGGAAGGTGAAGCTGAAGGTGAAAGGTCGGCGACGCACCTGAGGTGTTGAAGCTGCTGTCCATGTTGGACCCGTCCCAGGACTCCACGGCGCTGTCCACCGACGGCAGCGTGCTGAACGTCCTCTGGGGAGGGGCGACCGTGATAACAGGCCCATCCTCCACATCCTGGTTCTCCTGGGTTAGCCCCGCCCCTGGCACCAAGCCTGGACCAATCACGCAGGACTTTGGGCTGGACACTGCAACAGAAGAGGAAGATGACAAACAGCTGGGCTTGAACGTCGAAGACAACGTGCGTGTGTGCGTACGGTCGCCTTGCTTCTTGATCTTCAGCGTGACGGTCTCCCCGGCCTGCTGCAGCAGACTGATGGCTTCACTCAGAGGCTTCCCCTTCAAGCTGCTGCTGTTGATGGCCAGGATGCGATCGCCCACGTGGATCGCCCCGGTCCTGCACAAGAAGAAAAACAAACGTCTCACCACGTAAACAAAATCCAGTCTGAAGGGAAGAAGCTGCGAAACGGAAACACCAGCCAGATGAAAGTCCTGGTCCAGATGTCAGGAGCTGGAATGGAGGATGTCACCAGATCACCACTTCTTAAAAACGTTTCTTTTATATTGACCACGACAGAGTGAAGCTTTCTAAAGGCCTCCTCTGGATCAGAACCAGAGACGGCTACAAACTGCACCGAGTTCACGTCTGAAAACATCCAAGCAGCTGCAGCTGAACATCTGTCAGATAAACGTAGACGAGCGGGACCGAAAGCAGCAGTGAATGTTCATAACGTCCTCGTTAGGCCTGATCAAATCAAGCTGCTGCTCTTTTGAACCATTTAACAACAAACACGTCTCCGTTTCTGAGTTCAGTACATTTTTGATTGACAGTCTGTCACACACTGTCATTCTTATACGTTTGTACTTCAGATGCACCAAACGTTGAAATGTGACTTTATAAATGTTACGTTTTACAGTGATGTCAGCAGACTCCTGCACGGTCCGGCTCCTCAGAGGAGAACTATTAAAAAATGATTTGTTTTATTTAAAAAAAATGATTAGTTTTATTAAAAACTGATTTGTTTTATTAAAAAATGAAGTAGCGAGGGACTGCTGTATTCATTTCAGCCTCTGGCAGCAGCTGTAACGTTCGTTTGGATCCTTTGACCCAGTTTATGCATCAAATGATGGAAGTTGAAGCGGTACCTCTCAGCCAGCCCTCCTTTGCTCAGCGAGGAGATGATGATCGGGTCGAACGGCTCCTCGGTGCCTGAGATGGTGATCCCCAACGGGCCTCCGTACCTCTGCAGCTCCACCGTGTAGATGATGCTGCCGGTCACCTCCTGCTCATCTGCAGCATCAATAAAGTTTATTCAAACTGGGAGCAGACGCCACGGGGAGCGGCGGAGGAAACAAACTAAAAGACAAACCGGAGTTGTCTTCGTCTTTGAGGATCTTGAGCTTGACGAGCTCCTCGCACTGCTGCAGGATCTGAACGGCTTCCTCCATGGAGCAGCTCTCCACCCGGATGTTATCGATGGCCAGCAGCTTGTCCCCCAGCTCCAACGTCCCCGTCCTGGAGGACATTTCATGATGAGATCTTATCGTCTGTTTTGTAACTAAAACAACATCCAGAGAACAGATGTGTCCTGATGTTCTGCTTCACACACGACCAACAAACAAACAAACAACCACCACTCTGGTCTGAAGCTGCTAGCCTCATTAGGTGACCATCCTGAGGACACAGCTGTCTCCGTTGTCCTCCTGCATCACAAGCAGCGTGTGTGGAGTTCTGTTTAAAATGTGCAGAGACCCAGTTCTGGCTCCGTAGACCAGAACCACCTGGTCCTGTTGGTGTGGGGTTGGTGAGATTTGGTTACCTGTGTGCGACGCTGCCTTTCTTGATGTCTGAGATGATCAGAGGATCGCCTGGTTTCCTGTTGGACGGAGCTGCAGAGACACAAACAGAAGAGTCTGGACGGGTTCTGAAGCCGAACAAGTTTAATCCACATTCAGGACTATCTGCTGACGAGCCGGAGACAGGAACCACAGCAGAACTTCAGGAACCACAGCAGAACTTCAGGAACCACAGCAGGACTTCAGGAACCACAGCAGAACTTCAGGAACCACAGCAGGACTTCAGGAACCACAGCAGGACTTCAGGAACCACAGCAGAACTTCAGGAACCCCAGCAGGACTCAGAGGTCTACAGAGGTCCCAACCTTGAAGTTTGAGCTCCATCACGAGGACCTCCTAAGTGTTCATTGGGTGGTCGTAATGTTTTGGCTTGTCGTGTGTGTACTCACAGCTGATGGTGATTCCGAGCTCCACCCCGGGTTTCTTTGGGAGCTTCACGTGGAACGTTCCAGAACTGGGGATGACCGACTCTGAAACAAAAACAGGTAAAAATAAAACTTCACAACAAACTGATGATGATGATGAGTTTCTGCGTTCAGCTCATTTCTGCTCATTTCAGCTTGTTTTGTCTTGTATTTTGTTTGTTTCAGCTCATGTTCAGCTCTTTTCAGCTTGTA